TGCAGTACTACACTTGCAGACGAATGGGTCTATTGCCGAGTACAGCCAGATGTTCGGGCAGTGATTGTGTCAGACCAGCGCGAGCAGCTTTTTTGTTCATGATAACCGGACCAAGCTGCTGATGATCGCCGACGAGGACAACCTGCTTCGCCAGGCTGACATCTGACCAATACCAATTTCTGTCTCACCAACGCACGCAGATTTCTTTCCGGCAGAGATCGCATGTCCGATGAACCCGAGGAGTTTCAGTTCTTTGGTTGTCTAAATATATTGAAATCAAAAGGTCATGTAGAAGAGTATGTGAGATGACTTGCCTGTACGTCGAACATCGTGTTAGAACCCATTTGCAAGAAGTCCTGATCGTCCTTGTTGAACATACGCAGGAAGCTTTGCTTGAAGATCGATGTAGCAAATGAATCAGATAGGACAATGACGCCATTTGTCAAGCTGGGCAATGATTTCATCTCTAGTAAGCCCACTTGATCCAAGCAACCAGCAAACAAATCAACAGCGTGGCCATTGTTGGATACCCTCTTCGCCAGACCTTCATAGAACTAAAATAAAGCAAACTATGATGCCATGGTACATTGTGTCACTGATTCAGGACAGACCTTTACCGCACATTTGTAGTGCTTGATGCTGTCCCATCTGATGTTGTGATGAGAGTGAATAGGCTCCTTGAGTTCATTGCTGACAACCATGCCTGAACCCTCCGTTGCCAGTCCACCCGTGACAACCATTATATGTGTGCCCGTGTTAGGGAAAGTCGTCTGAGGTATGTTGTCACCCGTATGCTCTCACCACAATTGATAAACTCACCTCCAGGAGTCCAACGGTTACACTGATGGCCACACCAGTGCAACGTAAAGCACGCTTGTCATTGGCAACTGGCCAAGGGTCACGAGCGAGTGCCTCCAGAATGCCAGTGAGTTGAAATTCGCATTGTTGGACAGGAAGAAAGAAACGCGCAGCACCAAAAGCTTGTTAAGGCATGGGTTGGCCGGCGCAGGGTGCGGCGCGAGTTGTTGTACTGAGTCCGAGCATGTCCTGAATCTGTTTCTGTGTGTACTCCCTGCTGCCATGGAAGACGTATGACTTGCTACACTCTGCATAGCCCAACTCATGAACTTGTGTCTCGTGGTTAAAGCAATGAGCTTGAATGATGAAAGAACAAGTGTATGTACATACCATTGTGCTGAACGTAATGAGACCAACTAATGCATATGGTGGGATCAAGCTGAGACTGACGACAAGAGCATCACAAAGTGCTTTGAGGTCATCGGCATCTAGACAGGTATCGACGACAAACAGGAAGACAGGTGGGGCCTGAGTGAGACGCGATAGCGTGTGCTCAATCGTCGTGTACTTGGGAAGTAGTTCAGCGGGTAGATTGGTGTTAGAGATATCTTTATGATGTGGCGGGAAAGGATTGCGGGTCAAGAAAAATGGACAAATCCACAGTTTGCCTCTGCCAATATCGATTTGACTGTATGGCACATCATTAGTAGAATTTCAGGAAGGAAGAGAAGAGACATACCAATATGGATTGAGAATAGCATGACAAGGCGGTTTACACATCACGGGTTCGTATAATACTGGGGGAAGATCCTCTCGCTGCTTCAGTGGAGTAGAGAGTGCTGATATCGGAACCACAGTCCGTGTTGCCTCTATCTGAGAAGAGGGCCATACATTCCACGAGAAACGAACACCTGGAATCAAACATAAGCTAATCAATCGATTTAAGCAAGATATCAATGAAACAAACCATCTCGCTCTTTGACATCTTCAAAATTGAGCATCTCGGCGCCTCCACATGGGTTCGAATAAAAGTTAACAAGGGCACGACTGTTTTGCAAGTGAGTTGACCTGAACACGAGTACTAGCAACATCACTCACTAAACGGATGAAGGATCAACGATAATATTTTCATGCTAAAAATTGGGAAAATGACGTACCGATCCCTCCATCTCGATAATCTGTAACCATCACTCACTGAAGACAAGGATATCAAGCAAGGTGTTACGAACTAGGGTAGTTCTAACAACAGCGACTCGACAGAGTTTCTAGCTGTTGAGTTTCGTGAAGTCCTTCAGATAAGAAGGGGTTCTGTAAAGACTTAGTCAAAGGAGTGCTTCAACTAAGAATGCTAGTTCAGACGACTTAAGATTGGAGGTCTTAAGCAAAGGAAGTTCTGGTAAAACCTAGTAAGATTCAAGTGAAGTTCTACTAAGCTAATACACATGCTTAAATAAGTCAATATGTGCGCACGGACCAAGGTAGTCGTGAGATATAAGTACATAGTCCAAAAAAGGTAAGTAATCATAAATGGAAAGTGTACTATTGAACAAAGAGAATAGAGAAGCGAAAGAAAAGCGTGATTGTAACATTACCCCCCTACTAGGCATAAAGTCACCGACTTTTAATCATCTAAGTTAGCATAGTAAATGGGGTCATCGGAATAATCCAAGTCGTCAGAACCTCCCTTCAATTGCTCTGTATGATAGTAGGCCTCTTCTTCCTGACACTGCGCAATGTATTGCTCGTCTCTGGTGTTCTCCCACAGGGCTAATGTGGTATAAAATCCTTCGTCCTTCCAAGTTAGAGTGGTAGGCGTGCTGCCCGTATATCTAGGACAATAGAACGAAAGATGTCCAGGACTTAACTCTCTGCATACTCTGCAGTAGTAGTCTGGGCAATGGACTTGACGATGCCCGAGAGTTTTGCAGTATCGGCAAACCCTATTTTCATCTGGGTTAGACGAAGTGGAGCGTAATGGAGAGGGACCAGGTTGTGGGCTTAATGCTTCGTCTGCACTAGTAGCCCGCTTCTTTCCTTTTCCTTTGTAGGACTGCCCACGTGTCCTCTTTCAAAGAGTGGTAGATGGTTTTCGTTCGACAGGGTGCCTAGAGGCTACATCTTGTCGTTCCGCCTCCACGATTAGCTCAGCAGGAGTAGAAGGAGTAGTTGCTCCTAGCATCTCGATGGGGACAATCCCATCCTTGAATGTATGCGTAGATAACAATTTAGGAATGGTCATTGGAGGATGAATATGAAGTGCTTCGAGCGCGACTGAAAGATCTCTGATTTTGTAGTGGGAGAGATATTGCTCGTTAGGGTTCTCTTCTATTTCTTCGTGAGTAGTGGAGAATGCTTTATAAAGATTTTCTGGATGATTTTGTGTTTCAACGGAGGCATTAGACGGGGAAGTATTTTCGATAGGGGCATCTACAGGTGGCGTGATTTGTCGTTCTATGGGAGGGGATTGATTTTCTACATTGAGAGCAGCGATCATGGCTTCCGTGGTTTGCGTGAGACTATTGACAGCAGCCAACAGCTCGTTAGGAATATGAGGAGGAGGTACAGGTACTGCATCGTTGTAAGATGGGGGCGGGTTGTCAGTTGTTCTATTGACAGGGGATGGAGAAGGCGGACGAGCAACGCCTGCTGATCGTTCTGCGATGATATGGATGACGGTTCTAATATCATCTTTAACCTCATCAGGAATAAAACGCAGAGTAAAGTTGTGTACATGCCTTTGAAGGTGCATAATACCATGTCGGACTGATTCGTCCTCGACGAGGCGAGTAAGTCTTTCGATAAGGTCTGTGGCCCTAATGATGTTGACAAGGAGGTTAATGGAATATGTTTCTTTCGAAGAGGATTCTGTTGAGTTCAATGGCATGTTGGGGACAGAGCATGGCTGCCTCAATGAGGGTGAGATCTTCGGCATTGGTGATAAAGGCTTCATATCGGTCTTCATCATTTGCAAACATAGTGGTCGAGAAGGTGGATTCGTAAGGGAGTGTGAAGGAGGTTGGGAAAGACATTCTTGCTGGAGGTTTTGGGTTTGGGTAAAGAGTATATCATCGATGTAGTTTTTGATTTCAAAGCGAGTTTCTGGCTTTATAGGCATCGAGGGTCTCCGCGTCATTTCCCAGGTTCTCTTCAGGAATCCACTCGTTACTGGCGGAAGAATATCCTTTCCAAGATGCCAGATAACGGCGTCTTTTTCCATTTCCTTTATGCGCAAGGATGGCTTCGATTTCATATTTCTCTTCTTCTTCTAGAATATCAGGTGGTGGTTCTAAGAAGTTCGGACCGTGTTCGTTATTTTCGCTATAGGACGATAACTGAGAAGCGTGGAACGTGGGGTGGATCTTCCATTGCGGTGGTAATTGGCGTGTGAAAGTGATCAGTGATAGTACTGCGGAGATGACGAATGGTCCGTATCGTTTTGGAGCGAGTTTCCGAGATGGAAGTTTTAACCTGAGGTTGGTAGAAGATAGCCATACCTTATCTCCGACTTTCCACGGTTGGTACTTCTGCCCAAAGGATCTTTCCGTCATTCGTTGCATAGCGATGTTATGACAGGCCACTGCTTCTTCCCTTATCTTTTGGAGAAGTTTTACTCGTTCTTCTGCTGCAGGTATCTTTGATTCAGGGAGAATGTGTGGAAGAGCCTTTGGTTCATATCCCATCATGATGAAAAGGGGGAAGCATCTTTTGTAGCATGTTTCCGATGATTGTGGACAAATTCAGCGGTAGGGAGATGTTCTACCCATTCGGACGGGCTGTTCTGGCAATATATTTGTAGATAGGTTTCTAGTTCCTGATTTAGCTGTTCTGTTTGTCCGTCGGTCTGTGGATGATATGCGGTGGAAGGGGCGCTACGAACCCAAGAAGAACTGTGGAGGGGCACAAATCATAGACTATAGTCTGATCCACAATATGGCACTCACCAATGTCGCCATCCGACAAAAATATGATTACCGAGACAGGGCTCCTAAAACAATGTTAAAGATCTTGGAAGGGTTTATGGGAAAATAAACACACCTTTCCGTGCTCCAATGTTGTTCCATGATTGATTGAGCCCACTATCTTGTCTCTGTTGAATCCAGTGTATTTCCGTATGCTCTCGACACCCAGTTGCTTTCTGATGTCAAAAAGCTTGCGTAGTCTTTGTGACTTCCCTTCAGTACCTGAGACACATCAAAATTCAATGTACTCACTTGATTTGAAGACCAAACTCCTTTTCAATGCGAACTATTTGCTCATCTGCAGTCAAGCCAGACCCATTCTTCTTTTGGCTATACAGTAGATATGCTCATAATGCATAAATAAATAAAATACGAATAAATCACTAGGAAATCATTCTTGGGCGCAAAAAACTATACATTGACAGCAATATATGGACCAAGCACATTTCTATGAATGGATGACTTGGTGCATCTCAAAAAGATTGGTTCCTAATTTGTTATCATTTTTTATGCATTATGAGCATATCTACTGTATTACTGGAATGCAGTACGAAGAGCATCATTTTTGGGATCTGTGGAAATCCAGTTTGTCAATTGAAGTGCCGTGCAATGTTACCAAAGAGCAAGCCATTTTGTACAACATACAATGCTTTGTACCCAACTGGTTATTGCCTTTGGTGTTTGGCATACTTCAAGCTTCAAGTTTGTCATAATGCTTGTACACGTAGCGGAGCCGTGGGAATGTGGTTTGAACACTAGTACTAGCAGTATAACAATGTACAAAATGATAATAGCTGGATTCGAACAATCGTATGCACGTGAGATTCCATGCACTTCCCACCATTTGTACTTACCTACCAGATCAGCCATTTGGCAGTGGAGTTCAAAAATGATCTTTGTGATATCGATCACATTTGCCCCCTTTCTTGCTAACAACTACTGAATGGCTCGCACCAAGCATACAGGTCGCCAGCAGCACTGTGCTTAAACCTCACTTCGAACCAATTTGCAAACAGCTTCGTGCGATGACCTCAGCAAAACATGCCACTGTCAGTAGGGCGCTTCCTTATCCGATTGCTGATTTCTGCATCCCTGTCACTAAGGCCGAGCTTCCTGTCGATGATTGGGATGCATATGCCCCTCATAGGATCCACTATGGTATTCCAGAATGGATGAAGTATGGTGCAGGGGATACTGGCCAGCTTGAGTTTTTGCAAATTCCTGTCATGAAATACCAGCGGCTTCTTGCTACGTTCCCCTCCCCACAAAATATTGATCGTCCTGGGTTTATCTTTGCTACTGCGTTGAATACTGGCTTGCAGTGTGGAATTGTTGGCATAGTGAGTCGAAGAAGATGAAGAAGAACACAAAGGCACAACCAAAGAGGGTGGATCTGGGTGACACGTCACGCAAGAATGCTGGTGCACGCTTCTTTCGAGCTATGATCGCTAGGCGAACTGTGTTGGAGGAGTGTGTGGCGAATGGTGTCAATGATGAGAGAATCAAATCACTCGATGAGTTCCTCATTCGTGATCGCTGAGATTGGCTTTTTGTGGAGTTTGATGAGCTGCCTGATAATGCGCACAAGTATTTACAAGCTGACCCATTGCACAGTGAGAACAAGAAGCTGTTTGGTATGATTCCTGATTCACACGCCTATATCTGCACTAACTTGCGATGACATCAGAAACAGGCTGGGGCGTGAAGGAGGATGACATCTTGATTATGCTTGGTCAGGCAGATGATGCATGGATGTCCAAGGGCCTTGACCCCCAGTAAGAACTGGTTGTGCTTGAAACAGCCGGGACATGCTGAGGACTGAATTTCTGATTTTGTCCTGTGGCTGTTTGTGCTGGTTTGTGCTCCTTTGTAATTTCATATCGCTTTGCATCAATGTACGTTGTGTTGTATACACCATTGCATAGATTGCATCGCACAATCGCATATGTCGCATCGCACATACGGCGCAAACTCCGTATCGCAAAGTACAAACTGCGGCATTACTGCGGATTGCAAACACGAACTTTGCATCACTACTCAGTGTAACCTTTTCCTCACGTGCACAAAGCGCATGATATCATTAATATTGCAAACTACGATGCCCCAAATTTAAAGCTAGATAGATTGTTGGGGGGAGATTTCTGTTGCCCCACGAATTTAATCCTTTGGTCCTCCCACCATCTTCCCACCACGGGTGAGTCCACGTCAAAAGTCCTGCCACTCTTCTCCACTGACCACGCGAGTTTAGAACAGTGGAATGATTATGATGGGGATCTATTGTATTGGGACAGTGTGATGCTGGGGTGTGTGATAATATCATTTTCACGTGCATATGTTCATGTGTGTTGATGCTGTTTTAAGCATCGGCTCGTGACGGGTTGCCAGAAATTCTTGGATGTCCAAGACCTTGGGGGCGAAGCGGTTTGTGATGGCCAATTGTACTAGGGGATCTCAGGGCGGACCAGCGGAAGGTAAGTGATTGTGTGGACATTCTATACATGCTATATTCACGGTCGATGTCAGGAATATGATAACAAGGCAGCGGAACTAGTGAGTAGTGTATGTTGCTACAGTTATGATTCTGAGAGGGCTACTACAGGTTGGCGACAGGGCTTCAATTAAGGGTGTTTGTGAAGGGCTGCTGCACTAGTTCTCTCGAGCGTCTCCCATTCTACGCATCGCGTTGCGGACACCCTTGACACTGTTTTTATTCCCACGCAGTGCGCTTTCCGATGCTGGGTTCGATATGTTTTCGCAGATTTTTGTCGCTTTCTGTAGTGTTTTAGAGCTGTGTTAGTGCTACAGGTGTGTTTTATATTGCAGCACGATCAAACAATATCCGAGCATAATCATATCACAGCCTATATGAGCGCATTCACCCAGGGAATGAGAAGCGCGCATGAATATGGGCCAGTATTATTTTTGTGTGCTTGTGCGAAGAAAAACATAAGGCAGCATTAGAGGCTTTGCGCTGTGTTATTGTAAATGTGCTAAATGAACCGTTTTATATGCGAGATGTGCTAATGTATATATTTTTCCTCAGCCACTACGATAAGCATATTCTGGCATGCCCCGGCTGTTTTGAGCACAGCCAGTTCTTACTGGGCTTGACCTCTCAGTAATGTTGAAGAAAGAGATGAATGCAGTGCTCAAGATAGTCAGAGAAAGAGGGAGTGATGTTTGAATCATACGGGATGAAGATGCAGATGCAGAATTAGCAGAGAAGTGGCATGAGTCTCATGAGCCGGGGGTTTGATTCATCAGCAAAAGAAAGGACCAGCTTCTTTGGGCAGGTGAGGAATAGATAAAGTTGCACCTTTGCGCCGACTGAGATTATATTTGAGTAGAGGACGGAGGTGCATGAAAGAATTATGGAGGGATCCATTTGCAGTTGGGCCAGAGCATGATAGATTGTAACTCTTGGAGTGGGAGCGACATCTTCCTATGCTCCTGCCACGATTATTTTTGTCTTTATTATTTTGGGCTTAGACACTGGTTGCGAACAGGAGATGATGCGTTTGTTACAATACATATGTTACATGGTAGGGGTGTATGTGGATCAAGTTACGGAATTCGACTTCCGATTATGTCCTCTTGACCCTGTATGTGGTTATATGATTGTCTGATAGCCTTTGTTGTTGCTGCTTTTTGTTGTCAAAGTATGATTCTAAATTGTTTGCTGGTGTAGCTTCATGTTGCAGGGACTTGAAATTGTTCAGTGTAACATGGTTGTGGATCACAAATTGAGGGCTGCAAGGGAGTTTTGTCTTGCATGTGAAGCTTGTATCTCTTGTGTGTATGACTGGGACAGTAGGCTCTCATGAGTGTGTGCGTTCACTTGTCAGGTGGTGTCTTAGTAGATACTATGGTGACTCTGTGGGGCTGAATCTATGGCGCTGGATCTGTTCAACTATTCTTCACACACAAAACTCATACACATGCACAGACGCGACACACACACAAATGAGATGCACACACATAATCACTCCTTCGCATACATACTCTTGTATCGTAGAAAAATTAGTACTGCACTACTAGATCTGACATGATTTGATAATCAAATTATATTGCAGACAAGGTCCCCAATGAAGAACTGTAGAGTCCAAGGGGCAAACAAAATGCACCGAAGCCGCCAGCATTGGCAGAAAAGCCTCGAAAATTTTGAAGGCCTGCCGGTGGACGAGACGGAGCAATGAGAAGTGAGTAGGTCTCAGAGCGATGATGAAGGTTTCTATAAGCGCAAAGCAAGTAGAGTCTGAGGGCAAACAAAATGCACCGAAGTCGCCAGCATTGAGAGCAAAGCCTCGAAACTTTTTAAGGACCGGCTTGTGGACAGTGCGCAAAGATGCAGGTGACGTGGCGGGCGCTTGTTGTGGTGCCGCAGTTGATGGTCTCAATACCGAGCGACATTGAGAAGTAGGAGGGCATGAGAGATGGGGCGCGGCATGAGAGAACAAGTGGGAGAGAGTTAGCACGAGAGAACAGGTATGAGAGAGCAAGCATGAATGGGTGCAAGAGAGCGAGCACAAACAAAAGAGTTAGAGCGCGCGCGCGCGTTCCCGCGCTTGCGCGCCCTATAGCGCCAGCCATCCAGATGCATCCATCCACTGTCCACCAAGCTCCCTAGTGCGTATATTTCCATTTCCTTTATTAGCATAGTGTTCCATCTTTATTTTTATCATGTTTTCTCACTCATATATATATTTACATACCTACTCGGTAGCGCTTCGGCTCCGCATGACCGCGCTTAGGCGCGCTATATAAGCGCCAGCAGTACATACTATTACTTACCCTTCACACCTTACTTTTCACCCAACTTTACCTAGTACTTACTACTTAGAAAGTCGCAGTAGAAATCTATTCATTAGCACAACACATCTCACATCCTTTATCTTGCTTATATCTTCACATAAGTTTAGTCTCTCTTATTTCTGCTTACACGCGCGCGCTTTCCCGCGCTTCGCGCTAATACGCGCGCGCGTTCCCGCGCCTTCGTACCTTGCGCGCACCTGCGCTTTCTCGCGCTTCGCTGAAGTGCGTACCTCTAGATCTCCGCTGCACGAGCATGAGAACGGGCGCGAGGGACCAGAAGTATAGGTCTGTAGACATTGATTGGTTCATGAGAGAACGGGTAGGCGCAAGAGATAGTAACTGCAGGAGTGCAAGATGCTTTGCAGTAAGAATATAGAAAAATGATAAAAAGTCAAAATGTACCTTGAGTCTCAATGTCACCAGCATTGGTCCCTTTCAACTCCCTGGCGAAAACAAAGGACTTGGAGAAAATTGAGGGTATGTAGATCTTGTTGAGAAAGTTCCATCTTGGTTCTGTCACCACTGGGGCTCTAGATGGTACTGTATGCACAAAAATAGGAGGGACAGCAGTAGGAGACCCGCTTTCAGGATTTCATCCCTGGGTGTTGGTGTTAGCCTCTTGACTACTACACATTGACATCCCGAGGTACTGAAGAACTGCAGTGACTTATAGAAAAAAATAGCAAAGCGTTGTCAGGACTCAGGGGGCACAATGCTTATGTAATACATAAGATTGATGCGTAGTTCAGCCAATAATGAGCACTGCTGCATTATTGGCTGCGAGGAGCCACCCATTATTGAGCACTCATGATACTGCACTGACGATACTGGATGTTCCATCGACTGGTATGCGAAGGAATGATTATGTGTGTGTGTTGCGTCTGTGCGTGTGTGTGAGTTTTGTGTGTGAAGAATAGTTGAACAGATCCAGCGCCATATGAATCTGTTTCAACTATTGTACACAGGAAATGCTCAGACACGGATGAAAGATACATATGATCACTGCTTCACATAGAGACTGTTGTCCATGATACAAGTGTGTGTATGTGAAGGAGTTGTGGGAATGTAGTTGAAGGGATGCAGGGCGGTAAATATGGCATTGGGACAGTGTTTTTGATGATGGCAGGATAAATGTAATGGATGATGTGTGGTTGTGTTATGGTATGTTTGGTGTTGGATAGCTTATTTGACATCCAACTTTTTATTTGAACTTGTCCATGTTGTCAGTGATGTACTGTGGATATGATGTGAGATCTTGGTGAGATGTATTCTGGAGTGATTCAGATATGTAGCATGCTTGATGTGTGCTTCTCCTGTGGAGGAGACACAAGGGTGATTCTGAAGTGGAGTAGTTGTGTGTGACTTTGATTGGCTGATTCTGATTGTCGCTGCTCCAGTCTTGGTTTTGCTGTAGTCCTGATGTGAGTAAGCCAAATTTATCCTCGAGGAACTGGAAAGTTTGGGGGAGTCAGGGATGTTCTGCTTGTGTTTAATGTCACTCTAGTATTTTTAAATTTGGATGCTGTGATGGAGTTGTCATGTTAGGCAGCACTTTTTGGCGGTATAAAAGGTTTGAGATGGTATTTATATGGTCAAAACAGAAATAGGTTTGAAAGATCCAAAAATATTTCTGTTTATTTGGGAAGTGTATTTGCAGCTTTGACATGGGTTTAAATTGGATTTGATGTGGTGGATTAATGGAGAATAAGAGTATGTAAGAGATATGTAGAGAGGGGGAGAGATTTGAGTGGTGAGAGGCGGAGGATAGGATGTAGTAGTATTGAGAGATATAAGGGAGTCTCGGGAAAAAAATATGAGGGGATGGTGAAGACATTGAGTGATTGTGGGAAGTCAGGGAAAGATATTGAGGGCATGATGATAAGATTAAGTGCTTGAAGTAAGAATAGAAGTAGTGGTTTGGCACGGATTAGGGGGAAAAAAGGAAAGATAGAGATAAAGAACGACGGAAAAGCCATGTTGATTGAACATGTGGCGGGAACAAGTGTCTTTTGATACTTGTGTCAAGGACTGAGCCCCTTCAGCGAGGAATTCAGTATTATATGGGCCACCTGACCTACATAATATCCTGGATGAGATTGGCCAGCGGATTATGGGCCCATGTTGTGTATATTCTCGATGATGACGGATGGGCCAGGACATATATTATTTCTGATGGAGACGGGTGGGCCCATGTATGCCGATGATATATATATCCTTGATGTTGACCGACGGGCCGGGGGAATTTGATCATTCATGGAGATGGGTGGGCCCATCTGGGTAATATGTAGAGTAGGATATTATAGACAGCTGGGCTGAAGAGAGATGTAAGGCAAATATTGTTATATAGACGGGTGGGCTGACAGGGATGTACTACATATATGGGTGGGCCGAGGTAGGGGAATATTACATACATGGGTGAGCTGACGTGGGATGTATTACATATACAGGTGGGCCGATGTGGAAAGTATTACATATATGAGTGGGCCGACAAAAGGGATATAAAGACGTAGGATACATGTAGACTATGAGTGCATATACCTACCATCGACCACCGGGATGTGAGACAACAGAAATATATTTTGGGGTTTGGGGGTTAGTAAAATGTTTATAGATATATGTAGGTTCATATAAACATGTCTTAAAAATGATGTTCGTCTCAAATGTCAAATCCTGAGTTCCGGGTGTCGGGTTTTGGGACCCAGCACTCGGGGTTTGGCACTGAAAATGTGACATAACTCCAGGCTTCGGGATCCAGCACTCTTGAAACACGGAAATCGAAACTCAGGATTGACATTTGATATGCAACATCTTTCAAAAATGTTTAAATCAACCTTCTAT